CTATTATTGGTTATCCTATATATTTTCTATAACTATAACGCTTTACATTTCTTTATACATGGACGGAGATTCTGATAAGAGAAGTCTCGTTTTTTGTCGATCTGGAAGACAATTTAAGCAAAATAGTAAAATACTTAAAACATCAATACTCTTTAAAATATTATGAATAGATAGAGAAACTACTCTCGAGTCAAAACCGCATATGTTACACTAGCAAATATTATGTAATTTCCACTTATAATGACGCTACGGACCGAAAACCATAAAAGCACGACAATATCTCTGTACATCTATACAATCATGAAAGAATGTTTTTCCGTGAAACATTTTTGTTTGTGTTCATTGGTTTTTGGGTTCTAGTATGTAACAGTTGTAATTCACCTTAGTTAAATATTCTTTACAAATGCAAAAGTGGAGATATGATTAGTAATGTTGAAGTTGCAAAGTTGTTTTTTATCTTCTGTTTGGTGTAAATCATCATTGATTTTGTAGTTTATTAACGTCAATATTCACATTTTTACCTGGTGTTGCTAATGAAAAGGCGTATTATTCAGTGAAATCACCTCTTTGGTGAGATTAGCATGTTATTCAGACTTACACTTTTAGTGGCGAAACAAACACAACATTATACGTACTAATCATAGGCTTGTTGCGTTTTTCGTAAGTTGATGACGCGTCATTCGGTTTTTTAACGTTTTCAATCTTCTGACCATAAACATGGATAGCAGGCTGCGCGTTGAATTCGTACATTGAGACCTCCAAATTTTGGACAGCGGGCCTAAGACGCGATATTGTCCCATTAATGACTCCAATGTCATCTGTGTCATTTCGACCAATGTCCGTGTCATTATCAGATATGTTCTTGAGACTGAGACTCCATTGCCCACTACTACAGTATTCCATAGTAACCGGTGGTGGGATCGGAACCGTCACTTCTGAAAATCCATCTATTAATGTGTCATCCCATTTAACCTGTTTTTTGTTGGTATCTGCGTTTTCCAAAGTTTTGCTGTCGTACTCGTCCTTACTCAAAACGTTATGAAGTAAAACGGCAGGCATAAGCGTATTGTGGTTAGCAGACCTTGGGGCAGATCCACATGTCAATCTGGATATGCCATCAAGTGCACTCGATTGATCTTCTATTTTCTCTGTTAATTTGTCATCTTTTTGTAACAAGTGGTCAGTTTCGGTGACGGGGGTTGTTGGTGGTTTGTTAGGGTAAATTGTTGCATAAAAGCGATCTCTCAGAGGTATCAGCCGTTTGGTGTAACTGGTAACAGGTAATCGTATGATACTTCCGTCTTTAGAAAGTGGCTCACTATTCCTGAAGAAAGGATATTTCTTTTCAAGTGCTATAATCTGTTGCTGGTTAACTCTTACCGTAGATTCGTTGGTACCGAATGCCAACCGTAGGCTGAATTGCATCAAATCCTTTTCTATTTTTGTTGCTGAATCATTTTCTCCAGAATGAGTTTCACTTTTAAATTGTTTTAAGAAATGTCTTTGTTCTTCGCTTACTAATTTGGAATCAAACATTGGGTAGAGGGACCGTATTTGGTCACGATCTTTCTGCAAGAAATCGGCAGGAAGCTCATCTACTAAACTCAAGTTTTTAGTGGCGAGAAATGTCTTGTTCTTTCTCTTATATAATCTTTCCAAGTCTGGTGGTAAGTTGTTACGAGTTCCTACCTGTTTTGTATTAACCTCAACGGAGTTGGTATTATCGCTGTTTTGCAACTTTTCCCTCACCACATTTAAAGAAATTGCCGGGGTTATTAACTGTCTTTGTTTTGGGATTGGTGCTTTAATTGCATCTAGTTCAAAATATAGAGGCATGTTTTTCTTTTCCTCTGAATTATAACAACGGAACTTCGACGGAATTTCAGATATTTTCTGGAAGTGTTCTTTATACGAGATCTTGTCAGTTTTTACTAATGTATTGTATTTTGACATAATACTTTTTCTGTCGACATCACCAGATGAAGATACTTGTGATGAATTAATTGAATCATTTTCTGTTTGAGCCGGGTTCAAAAACGGTAGATTTACTTTTTGTTTGTTTTTTGTTTCCATTTCTGATTTACTTGTAAGTTCATCTTGATTTCCTATGTTCTCTTCAGATTCCAGTGTGTTAAAACTTTGTACGGTATGAATGATGTCATCATCATAATAATTTTTGGATAAGCCTATATTTTGTAAAATTGATTCAGGTGGTAGATATTTATCACAGTTTTTGCTAATGTCTTTTCTTTTACTCAGTATATGTTGATTCATCCTACGCTTTCTTTCCTGTTTGTCTTTAGTTTTTCCTTCTCGAACAATGTTCCAGTTATTCCCTAACTTGTCCGTGAATTCCATTATTCTGGGCAATTTAATTTTACTTTTTTCCTCCGTCTCAACACAACCCAGAGGTTTATTCTCATATCTTCTCTCCAATGTTCTCTTCAGTCTGATATTGATTCAATATGGATATGTTCCTTTGAATAACATTGCTGGGGATAGTAATTCCTTGCTGAAGAGGTTGACTGGTGATTACTGACACCCGGGGAGACATCTGTTTGTCGGACGTTTTATATCGGCTACGTCTACGTCGGCATTGGGTACTGTACACCGCTGGATTACTCCGGGCAATGAGTTCTCTTGCAGGGTACAACTTGCCATTGCACGTGCAGTTTTCTTTATGTAACGCATTGTTGACGCTATTAGTGAAACGTTGAAGAAACAACCCAGCATGGCTTTCAGATTCATAATTGGTTATCGAGCAGACCTTGTTCCGAAAGACAAGCGCCATTTGCTAGACAGCTCTCTCCGTAAGCTGCAAAGAAATCATACCAAAATTAGCAATGGTTATGTATATCTGAAATGATCTAGGCCATGTCTCATTAGAATAATATATTACCGTTCATCTTATCCTGAGCATTATATTTAACAATATTCATTCCGAATATATTAGCTATATTTCATTCAGTATTGGAAAGAGCTATGCAACTTTTAGAATAGATTCTTGTGTCGTGAATGAAACGCGATCGACAATGTTTACAGAATAAACAAATAAACGTACAATAAGATAGGATTGTGGACCATAATTATAGGCCCAGCTTAGTTTATGAGGGCAGCTTATTGCGTAAAAACGTCAAAACACAGGAATGAAAACATTTACGATGTATAATTATATGCATAGTCCTGAATATGAAAATGTAATAAAAAGAAATATTATTTATACTAAGGACTTTACCAACGGACGTATGCGGCTCCGATAATGAAGTCGTTCCTGGAAATAAGACCGAAGTATGATATGCCTTATATTAAAACTCGTCAACCAGTTGATATTTGATTTCAGGCTCAATTTAACGTCAGTTATATGTACCTCTTTTTATTGTATATATATATATATATATATATATATATACATGTATATATATATATAT